ATTCAAGTCCGGTGCAAAAACGCATGATCGCACGGGCCTGCCCGGTGCGTTCCAGCCTGGGTTACTCTTAAATTTGCGTATTCGGTTAATTTTACTCTAAGTGGGTGGCACCATACGCGCGGTAGTTCGGTATTTTGTTAGTCACAAATTTGCTGACTAGATCAACCTCACTCTACGCGAATGGCGCCATGCGTGCGGTGGTTTCGCATTTTAATGCTGGTTACAAATTTCGCACATTCGATCAGATCATTCTGTGTGAATGGCATCACACCTGCGGTGGATCTCCATTTTGTTATTAAACAAAATTTGCATATTCGATTATTTGGCCTTTAAATAGAGCACCGTTCAGCAGAAGCCACATTTTTACTTACTGCCCTTCCCCCTAACCGGTGCTTCCGTTTGGGAGCTCTTGTACTAAAAGCAGAGGCAGTCTAAGGCGGCTAAGGCGGAAGAAGAAGATGCCGCGGCGACGTTCTCGATCACGCTCACGTCGAAGTCGAAGGCGATCACGAAGTCCTCGTAGCCGTTCGCGTTCGGTTGTGCTGGTGGGAGGACGCCGACGACGTCGTTCACATTCGGCGCGTGCACTGACACGTCTGCTTTGGGCTGCATCACTAATGCGAGGTAGAAGGCGTCGACGCTCCAGATCCCGTGGACTACGTCGTCGTCGATCCTACTCGCGTCGCCGTCGATCCTACTCGCGTCGTCGTCGATCCTACTCGCGTCGTCGTCGGTCCTACTCGCGTCGTTCTCGCTCCGGCTCACGCATTCGCCGCCGTCGCCGCTCCCGTTCCCGACGTTCCAGCTCTCGTTTTCGACCGCGTCGGTACCGCCGTAGCCGCTCTCGATCAAGGTCGTGATGTCCATCTTCTTCATCCTGTTCTACATAAGCATAAAATTTTGCATCGCCCATGTTCTTTCGAAATATGACCAATCCACCAAAAGTTTTCTACTTTTCATATTTATGGATGTGTATTAATTCCCGCACTTCCTTCACTTACCTCGTGCGATTTGTTTAGACGTGTTTATAGAAGACGCAGGCGCACACGCAGCCGTCACCGCAGCTAAAGAAACTAAAATGCCAAACAAGGAGCAATCCCGACGAATGCGGTACGATTTTTTACAACTAGCTTTCCCTCTCCAGAAAAATTCGGTTTTTCAGAAACTTTTTTGAGCTTTGCTGTGCAAGGAAACGACCATCTCTTTCAGCCACTTCTCCAAGGCACCTCTCATCCCAGATTTGCTGGATCATCGAGCTTAGTCAATGAGCTTTGTTTGTAAAATCTATATCGATAAAGTTGTACAACTTTCGCACCACGCAAAACAAAGGTGTGTAGCTTTCGCTCAAAAAGCTAGGCTTTAATTCGAAGTCTTAGGTATAGTAATTTGACACCAAAAAGCTGTAATGAATGAATACAGAAATTTTCCAATAATTTTCTTTCAGGCCTGCAACTGATAGAATGGACGAAAACCCGAAATGGCAGACGAGAAGGAAGGACGAAAAATTAAAAGATTCTAATAAAATGACCTACTGAAAAGCTAGCTAACAGTAATACTGACCGACCACAATGCATTGTGAACTGACACTGAAACAAATAAAGTAATCTTGTAACCTGCAGCCAACCCAAAACACAACAGCTCCACTGCGACAACTCTCAGAAATTCCTGGTAGATTCAGCGTGATCATTGAGTGGTTGTGATGAACTTGTCGCCTTCATTCTACCATTCTTGATGGCCACGATGTGGTGGTGAGATTTAATTATTTGCAGAAAAAAACTTGTCTATTTCTAGCCGTCCTATTCGAGTCATCGTGACGACAGGTCAACGGAATCTCTTTGAAATTACGATATTACTAGTAAGGGGTAACCAGACACCGACGATTCCGACCGCGCAGTGATTCTGCTGATTTTGATGACAGTATGATGATTCGGAAAATTTGCATGAAGATGGTGTTCTAATTTGGTCAGACTGGATTATGTTCAACTGGTGAACGAGTATGATACTTCCGCTTCGGCATCTTGCGGATATCACTAATTTTGTGGAGCTTGTGTGATCCGATTTTTTTCGACGCAGTCTCCGATTAAAGATTGTGGCGCACGCCTACGTTCCAGCCAAACAAGATGTAATTTCCAGCTCCGGAGAAGCAATTATTGTCTGCTGCACTATTTGGTCAGGACCCGCACTTTGCATTACATTCGTTTTCAATACGCTGATTATAAGCATTTTTCATTTATTTGACTGACTGAAAACCCGAAGCACCTCATTCATCTCAAAATAGCTGCTAGCAATAAGAATCATGTCACCTGGATAGCCTGGCAGGTTTAAAACATCCTTTCGAGCCAACTTTTAAAATATCGCAAAGCTAGCAGCGAGTAACTTGTTTGATATGGAGCCTCATTGCTTCAGGTCACAGATCACTCTCGATCGCCATACTGATGATAATTGGCCAGCGCACCGACTGCCGCTGCGAAGATGCGTTTTTGCATAGTTCCTCGTAGGTTTTTGTTGCTAACGGCAACAGTTTTTCTACCAGATACTTACAGCTAAATGAATTGAGGCCGCTAGAACTGTCAGGAAACATGACCTTAAATTTCAGCTTTCTAGCTTTAGTGGTCTCCGAATTAGCAACTTCCCTTCCAAAAGTTTTCACGGGCTCGTAAGTGGGAATCACGCATACCGGGGCCTGGATTAGAACTCATTAAGACCTACGCGGACGGGGAAAACCCTTCAAAATTTCAACTCTCTAGCTTTTCAGGTTCCCGAGCTAGCAACTTACTCGCCAAGAACTTTGAGGTGCCTGCACGTGAAAACCGCGTGGGTTGGGATGGGGCCCCTATGTGCGTGTAGACTAAGTTCCCAAATTCAGTCTTGTAGTTTTCGCAGGTCTCGAGATGAAAAATCGATACACAGGAATACACAGAACACACACAGAGTCCCTCGACAATATGCGATTTTGCATTCCATAGATGCAAGAAATGCTTAACCCAGGCTGGAACGCACCAGACGAGCCGGTGCGATCATGCGTTTTTGCATCAAACTTTGAGGCACTCCATTAAATTTCTTCGCCTTTCTCCACCCCCTCCACTCGCTGTTTCCACCCCTCCCCCTTCCTCCGCCCCCGCCCC